TGAGCCGAAGGCAGACGCTTAACGACTGAGCCACCCAGGCGCCCCTCACATAGTTTTTAATATAAGAAAATATCATGCCTCTTCATGTCCAAATTTAGCCAACTAAAAAAAAAATAGATAGCAAGTCAAGAGGCTCTAGGCAGTCCTTAGTTACTGGTTTCTTGAGAGCTGTATATAAACTTTACAGAGACTATGTAGACTGGCATAATCCACTGCTTCTCAAAGTGTATCATCAGTAGTACACAGATAATTTTAGGTAATATGCAGATTGATGCATTTTATTTTTACAACTAATATATTTTAATATGTATGTTAAGAAAAAATATAACCAACATACAGACCTAGCATTTCATAGACATTATTGCTTAGGACAAGTTCAAAAGCAAACAAACGTGAGTTGATATATGAGTTGATATAAAGAAAAATATTAAATAAATGATAGTACCATTGACTGAGGTTTAGGAAATACTGCCATAATGTCTCATTCATAGCTGTGTCTGAATAAGAACCTAGATGGCCCTTGGCTTCTGCCACGGTGCTTTGTCTGTTATGCTGAGTTTTAGAAGCCTCTGTGAGACACCAGCACCAGGCATCCAATATGGTACCTGTATTGACTGCTTGCCAGCCCACGGAGAACGGAGTCCTGGCTTGAATGACATACATGGTGATGGGGCTGTGGTTGTCAGGTCCAGATCTCCAGGAGAGCTGAGCGGTGGTATCTGTAATTTCATCTATGGTCACAGCCTCTGGGGGTCCCGGGGGACCTGTGAAAGAGCAAGGCCCTCAGAAGTGGAGCAGTGCATTCCACATGTCCAAGCAAGTGATTGTATAAAATTGAATGCAATGCTGATCCATTCAACCATTTATTCACCCGCTTACAGATTCATCACTTGTCAATTCCTTTTTGAATGCCTATTGGGTGCCCAACATTCTTCTAGGTTCTGAAACTGCAGAGATGAACAAGACACAGACCCTTCTTTCTAGGGGCTCACTATATAATCAGAAAAAAATAATAGGTAAACAAAGAATCAAAATAGAATACTGGTTTCAAATGCTAGGAGAGAATAGTGGGATGCCACAAAAGCTCAAATTCATTAATTCATCTATCATATATTTACAGGTTTCTGGTATGGGTCAGGCAGTGTTATCTGTGGATAGAGTAGTGATAAATGAAGATGACAGTCTTTTGGAAATGGTCATTTCTAGCACTGAGAATGTGGATTTGAGCAGAACTGGCTTTGGAACTTTGATGGTCACAATGCTGCTCCATACATTCCCACTGCACTGTAATTAGTGACCCCACCCTTGCCCCACGTCATATGCAAACACACACTTCTATGCAAGGGAACCCCTGTGAAAATGGCCAGTGCTCAAGAGTCACAAGATTGTGGCTTCCTCAGTAAAACTTCAGAACCGGGCTGGAGTCTAAAGACCCTCATTTGCAGTTTCTGAAAGTCATACCTGTATTTTTCCATTTATCTTCCTGATGTTCACTGTTTCTGCCCATGTATTTAAACCACAGAAATGAGAGGAAATCAGTTTTAAATGAAGGCTTGGAAATCATAAATACACAGAGGATGGAAATCAGTAGGCAAACAAACACAAAGTATCAACCCAAGCAAAGCTCCAGAGGTGTCTTAGATTCCAACAGGAAAATCTCTTACCAGGCAGTTAAATGTATTTGTAGCAAGATACAACTGACCACCTCGGGAGGGAAGGTGATTGTGAGGGAGACATGATAATCCTCATGTCCCAGAGAGAGGAATAAGGAGATATTCCTGGGAGGGCTTTGCTCAGCCCCATATAGCGGTCAAGTGAAGTGCCATGCACTGCTGGGCCATGTCACCGGGCAGGGAAGAAAGACATCTAGCAGAGTGGTGAAAAGTTAAATGTAATTTCCTGAAGTAAGACTTTGTTCTGAGATTCACTCCTGTACCCTTCATAGGATGCCCTAAATTTCTCTTTCCTTTTTTAAAAATCATTTTTATAGACCCACAGGTGAAACTAAATTTATCTTCTCCCTCCTACTCCTGAATGAAAGGTCTGGAAATCTGTACACTGAAACTGATTAATTTTCCATGGTGACATTTCAGCATGCCAGTCTAATGCCACCTGGATAGAGCTGTGGCAAACTTTGGTCTTTGCAACCCTGATTAACCAGATAAAGTCCAGAAGACTACATCAACGTCTTTTTTCTTACTAGCTTTCTCATCCTAGATTCCCACCCCCAATCCCCATTTTAATGGATGCTCTTTTTTGATGGCCTTTAAAATCAAAGTACTGTAAGTAGAAAAGTGTTCCCCTCCAAACTCCTCAAGGAGCTAAATTGATAGAAATTATCTGAGCCCGCTGTGGGCAGCCGAGTAAAGGAAAATGAAGGGGTGGTATGAATTTGGCCACTGGCGGTAAAATGGTACTTTCATAACTTTGTTTGCTCTGTATGCTCCTGCCAATGACCACAGCAGTGTGTAGATAGGACCTCACAGAACGTTTGCCAACTTTGTGTTGGGGAAGTTGGGTCCCTCTTTCAAAATGAGAAAATGAGCCAATGTTTATCCTCTGAACAAAATGTTCACATGGTTAGGGGCTCACAGATGTTTTGGTCAAGGCAACAGAAGAGGGAACGCTGGTGTGAGACCATGCCTCAGCTTCTCTGCTAGTGAAGAAGGGCCTTTCTACCTGCCCATAGCAGGCTGTACACTAAATAAAGTAGGAATCAGAGAATCAAGGGGGCTGGAGCCAAGACTCAAAGCTTTACCAGTTTCAGATACAAAAATCTCTTACAGGGCAGTGAAATGCATTTCTGCATCCTCTCTGTAATATGCAGAAAAAGCTGCAAGGGCAGAGCTAGAGGAAATAAAACGAAATATTATGGTTTAAAATGACATATTAATTTATTGGCTTTATTAACTGATTAGACCAGATTTTCTTTTAGACTGAGTTTGCAAATTCCTCTTGGTATTTAATGTTATTTTCTGTGAAATGAAGTATACAATATCATTTAAGAACTTCAGGTATTACTGATTTAAATATTTATTAGTCTAATTTATTGGTGTTTAAACTGCTGATCTGAACATTATCCTAATTAAATAGAGGATAAATTTTCGGCAACAGAGTTCTTTTGTCCCCAGGGGGAGAGCAGACCAGCACTCATGTATTTTAAAATGGAAATAGGGGGGAGGGGAAAGATGGCAGAGGAGTAGGGGACCCTATTTCAACTGGTCCCCGGAATTGAGCTGGATAACTACCAGACCACTCTGAGCACCCACGAAACCAGCCTGAGATGTAAGAAGATCTGGATCTCTACAAACAGAATATCGCAGGCGGTTGGTTTTGAGGTATGAAACGGAGAGCCATGATCCTGCAGGCAGATATTGGAGGATAAACGGCGGTGGGAGGGTGCCTGGCTGTGGGGATCCTACACCACCGGTGAGTAACAGCCTCGCGCTGCGGACGGGCACAGACTTGCAGACCGGTAGCGTCAGGAAAGGACTTTAGGGCAGCCCCCGGGGTGGAAAACCAGACC